CCTGCCTCTGCCTCCCGAGTGCTGGGATTAAAGGTGTGCGCCACCAACGCCCAACTCCACCCAACTGTTTTTAAAAGCACAAATCCAGTCATGATTCTTTACTTTTCCATGCATAGAGCCCATCCTTTTGAATAAGGTCTCAACTCTCCCTGATATTCCAGAAGACACTGGAGAGTTGGGACCAGTCCATTGTTCTAGCATCTTTTCTCATTCCCAATGCAGAGGCAATGCCTACTCATCCAACATGCAGTGTTGGGCATGAGACCATACATAGCACTTACTATTTTGTAACTGAACATTTCCATCTGTGTGGAAGGGGAGACCTCAGCCATTAATCCTTGAGTCTTCTCACTGGCAATTTGGAGACACTAAGTTAAAACAATTGCCTACCTTTCTAGCAAGTAGGACTTGAGCCTCCAAGAGCAGTTATGGAGGATGAATCTGTATTTTGAGGGTGTACTGGACCTCATAGCTTGGGCTCTTGTCTCTCCATTTCTGCCCACCAAGGCAGAGCTCTGTCATTGGCCAGTCTCAGTGTATTGCCTTCTTCAGCTGGGTCCTAGTAGACAGAGACTATGCTACGCATCTTTCACACCATGTTTTCTATGTCATTCTAAGCACCCAGGAAGATCTTTTCCAGATACCTTGACAGTTGTGTTAGGACCATTAATCTGGATCCAGCAGACAAAAAGAATGGATGGGCAATGAGGCTGCTTTCCAGACCCTGTCCTGTAAAATCATTTCTTCTTTTGGACTAGCAAGACGGCTCCTTGGGTAAGGGAACTTGCTGCCAAGCCTGATGACCGGGACTCAATTCCTGGGTCTCACTTGGTGGAAGGAGAGAAATGACTCCTGAAAGTTATCCTCTGACCCCCACACATGTGCCATAGCATGTGTGAGCATGCATGTGAGCTTGTGCACATATACACAAATGAGTGCAATAAAAATGTTTTAAGGGATCTTCCTTTAAAATGTGAGTATGTACGTGCTCACATGGGTGAACGGATGTGTGCGTGGGAGCTCATGCAAGTGTGTGTGCATGCATATAGCAGATAAAGGATAAGCTCATATTTCATCTTCAGGAATGCCATCCACCTCCTTTGAGACAGGGTCTCTCACTAGGCTGATGCCCACCACAAGGATAGAATGGCTGGGCAACAAGCAAACATCTGCCTCCCCCGCAATGGTATCACAAAGGAGTGCTGTCATGCTCCCCAGGATTGAGCATAGGTCTTCTGGTGCAAGGTGAGAGCTTTACCAATTGAGATATCTCCTTAGCTCCCACTCCCAAATATTGTCTATGACTCCATAGTTCCCTTTGCCACCTGGCAACCTTAGAAGTCTCATCTTCAAGATAGTGCAGCTGTTCCCTGGCAGAGGCTGCCCCCACCCGCCCTAGGCTTCACGTGATTGGGACATAAATCTGTATCATGTTCCAATATTGAGAGTGGGGTCTACTTGTTACTTCAGCAGAATGTCATCTAGCCTGACTATATTACACTCAATCAACTCTTACATTTCCATATAACAACACAGCCTCATATATCACAGAAAAGTCACTTCCTCTCAGATGGTATAGGGGCTCGGGGAAGCTAGGACCCCTGTACCAAGATTCATCCCGAAACAGCTGAGAATTTGGGATCAGGTCAAAGGGATCTCTTTGGATGTAGCTGCTTACCTCGGGGACCATGTGCTAGGCCCCCACAGTTGCAGTGTGTAAGAGAAAAACAAGACTGACAATGGGCATCTCCTACCACCTTTGTCACCTCTTCCAGTCTCCTTCAAATGCCAGGGAGGAGGTGGTGATGCAGGCAGCTGGAGGCCACACAATCTGGTTTTGGTCTCATTAAATGTATTCAAAACAAAGGTCAACTATTTGCATGCAAGCACTTGGGTCAGACCTCACTCCTCAGTTTAATTTCCCCTTTCAAATGAATGAAAGAAACATGTTTGCAGCTTACTCTGAGCCAGTCGGCGGAGTGCCAGCTCCAGAGGTGGCAACATAAGTATTTCCTGCTGGGCACAGAGCCAGCATGTCACAGAGGTCTCATGTGTACATACACATGTACCTGAATGGTACTGTGGGAGGGACAGGAAGTGCCTGTGTGGAGGAAGGGAGGTCCCGAATGGACACGGTGTCTAAGACCAGACTGGTTAAGCAATTCCAGACAAAACACAGAAAAATGCTTCCTTGTTGAGGGAGTGCCCTTTCATGGCAGGCTGCCTGCGCACTGGTGGAGCCTGGCACGGGGCCCTGCACCAAGAAGGGAGGCTCTGAGCAGCCACCGCCTTGCCTTTGGATGGAGGGGGACAGGCCTTATAACTTGGAGAGGGAGTGTCTTGCCAGAACCTGTTTGTGTGACACACACTTGTGATGAAAATTTCTGAGGCCAAGAGTTCACACTTATAATCCTAGCAGTGGAGAGGTTGAGGCAGGATTTCTAAGGATTGGA